AGGGTCCATTGGTATCTAGGCTCAGTACTTGTCTGTTTCCATAGGTCCCATATTTTACAACAATACCTGCTTCAGTACATTTGCTGGATGCTGCCATCCCTTTCTCACACTGCAAGACAAACTGGTTGTATAGCCGCAATCCATCATCTTTGCCAATGTTTCCATGGTACTGCATGCTTCGGCCTTTGGCTTTGCCTCCCAGTGTGGCCTGGGGCACAATGAGTACACTTCCAGGCAACTCCAACACAGACATGTATTTCCCAGAGTCTGTCTCACACAGCTTAACATTAAGCAGGGAGTTCACTGTGGAGAGGCACAGAGCAAGTTAAATATTTTACGATGTCTAATTTAAAGATTAGCTGTCTTTTGGAAGGCCGATGAAGAAATTCTTCAATTTCTTAAAGTATACACAAAGGTATGAAAAAGTAGGTTTATGCAGCTAGCAAACATGCATTTTATATTGCAATTTTGTGACAACTGAGTTTGGCTACCTTTGCAGTGACTTGAAGGCAGGCTGCCAATGATCACCCCAAAATCTGAGGTTGAACATTATTTAACTAAGTAAATATTCCCTAATCTAGACATACTATGTTGATGAAAAATTACCCAAGAATATATGTATTGTATTTTCCCAACTTTGATTATACACATCTTATAATTCTGCTAACAGTCTTTTTTCTTGTAATATATTATTCAAATTAGTTTTACAGTATTCAGTAGTAACCAGTGGTGGGTGGTGATTTTTAAAATGGGGTTAATCACAGTGGGGATAGTTGGCATTACAACCAAAAAAGGTCTTTTTTCCTTATTTAAGTAGGTTAGCTACATATATGTAAATTCTGCCATCTTTCATCAAAAGATTAAGTGAACAACATTAGCTGCATGTCTGCCATCTTGCTTCAAAGCATCTAGCTAAGCTTGAACACACACAGCATAGTTAGCAAGATAACTACCAAACTACTAGTGTACTAAAAATAACTGAACTATAGTTATCACATAAGTTAAGAATTACATAAGTTATCATACTCAAAACCCAATGATAACTTCATGGGGGGGGAAATGGTATATGAAATGATAAACAGTCACTTTGGGTTTCAACAAAATGCTTCTATGCTTCTGCATGGGTCAGAATGAATGCATACTGCAAACCAACACCACCAACAGTCCAACACCATGTGAATTTATTGGTCATGAGCATTAATATTATTGGTAGTTTATCTTGTCTTGTGCAGAGAAGCCTGGTTTCCAAGCATGTCTAAAACATCTGACTGTAATCAATCTGTCCAATCAATATTGCCTAAGCAAAAACTAAAGTTGTACTCCATTTCAGAGGCTACAGCTTTCTACCACTGCATTTGAAAACCAAATGCATCACTGTAGTGCAACAAGATTGTCCCATTTTTGAAAGCTCTTTCAAATGCAATCTAGAAATATGTCCTTTTCCTCAGCTGCCCAAGAATCATTGGGTGGATTTTTACTTAAATTCTCAGCACCACTTCCCTCAAAAAATACAAGTGGACAATGGGCTGAATATACTAAATATCATAACACCTAGACAAGATCACAACCTTGATTTGTCTTCCCCCCAACATTACTGCAAGAAATGAATCCTGTGGAAGCATGCACAGAAATACTGTACTCCTAAATCAGGAACGATTTATTTTAAGCATTATTTAAAGGAGTATATCATTTAAGGAGTATATCATTATTAATGTAAGAGAACAAGAGCTTAGTGTATGAGAATGAGCATTGCTACTGTAAGTCTAAAAGGCACAACATACCCATTTTGGGAATAATATCTTCTTCTGCTCCTTTGAAAAAGCAGATAAAAATCACCATTCCCCTCTGAATCTGTGCGCACGAAAGAGAAACAAATTACATGTGATACATTCATAGCCACCTAAATATGGGCTAAAATTAACAATTCTATACAATTGACTAATGATCATACCTCTACCCACTCCGCTTCAGATTGCCCTTCCACAGGCTTGACCTGAAGTCTAGCATGTAGACACTGCTGTACCACCGTCCTAGCACGGGAAAGAGTACCTGCTTCTTCCGTCATCTTTGATCACGCGCTGACGTCTTACTCTTATTTCATTCGGAGATCATAGACTGAAGAAAAGGGTGTACCACCACCAGCGGGATCAGATACGAAACTAAAATAAAAATGTAAACGGATAATAGTCATTTGACCATATAAGGTAGGATCTGTAGGAAATATTCGAAAATCGTTAAGGAAAAAACTAACAATATTCTCGAGTAAATTTTAACTTATGTCACCGTTTTCACTATCTGGGGTTTTCACCTAATTTTAAGCGTGAAATATTTTTTCTTCTAAATTATATGTTATATCTACACCCACTGTATCACTTGAATACTAGGTAAACATTTTATTATGTCTAAGCGTGCAACTTACTATCAGAAGCAAAAAGATGAAGAGGGAAACAGTTTAAATAAAATCCTTACCTGAGGATTACGGGTGAGGGTAAAATGCGGACCGTTTACAAACAGCGGATTCCGTGTTTATAAACAGACG